TATATTTATATTTGGTACTAGGATTTTCTAGTCTTATTCCAAGCAATCAAGGACATATGTGTTAAAATAACCATGGTACTGTAGAGCAGTCTTGTAAATACCATATGTCAGAGGAAAAAATACACAGCTAAATGCATGTCGGCATCAGCTCCTGCAGTTTCGTAGGAGTTCTGGCCATGGAACTGAAGCAGAGCTGGGCCAGCTGGAGGTTCAGTTTTACACAGAGCTAGCTTATGCTGTGCTCTGAAAAGACAGGTGAGGATGTGACTAGAAAACGGACCTGGGACACAGCAGACTGGAATTAAGCTCATGTTCTCCTGTAAATGTCTTATATTGGAAGCAGTTACATTTCATAAATTGTGTTGCATTGCCACTTTTTGTGTCTCTATTCCCAGCAGAACAGAAATAACAGTACTTTCTTGTATCCAGTCCTTACTTAGTCTTGTTTATCTAGACTGTATGTTCTTTAGAGAGGCAAGTGTGTAGGTAAAAACTTTGTGATCAGATACTGAAATAGGAACCTGGAAAGAAAACTTCAAGAACTATATTGGGAAAGTGAACTACAGGGAAAGCTGGGATTGGAAGAAGACCTAGAAAGAGCTTATTCATCTTACTGTTATTATCTTACTGTTCCCAGAGCAGAACTTAAGTTTCAATCAATAGACCCAAAATCTACATTCCTTAACCATAGGCACATCACTTAAGGTGTAGTCAAGGCCCACAGTGTCCTGGTATCCTCCCTGATTGAAAACTGTTCCCTGATCAGGTAGTACAGACTTTCCCTGAACTCCAGATCAAAGTTTTGATAAAGCCAAGACATGCAGGTTTCCATGATCTCTGTAATCAGTGTGGATGTTGGAGAAGAAGGGAATGAAAGACCCTTCAGTTAGTACAGTAAAGGTATCCATATATTTTCTTGGTCATTTACCAAAAAAGGGATCGAGGGTATGCATTTTCCAAAGAATGCATACTCAACCCCTGATTTTTTAAAAAGGATCTATGTGAAGACAAGTTGTTGGTTCAAGATTGTAAGAAACTCTACTGGTATGGATAGAAACGAAAAAATCCAAAAAATCAATGATTTACCTATTTAGATAAAGAAACATTGAGATACTTGGCAGTGATCTCAGTTTTATCTTCTCTTTTCTAACAGTTAGAGGTTTTTAACTATGCAACATATAGCTGGGCATTAAAGATTTTCACAGCCTTTTTAATCTTAGCTTGTTTGTCTTCATGGATTTGATGCCAAAACTAAATCAGGTAAAAATCAGCTGAATAATTAAATCTGCTGGGAGAAAGGATGGAACCTATGATTTGCCTATATAACCTGTAGTGTTGATAGAGCCTATGGTTTACAAAGGGGAGAAAAAGCAGCAAAACCAATAAGTACAAACCCTGTAAAGGTTAGATAATGATTAACACAAGAAAATAACTGACTTCCCTTTTATTTCCACTTAATCTGATGGTAAAGTAGAAATGGGAAGGGTGATAAGAAAATCTGCTTCTCTGTGTTATAACAAATAAAAAATGATTAAGCTGTACTTAAGATCCATAGCTCTGGATAATCCTTCTTTTGAGGCTTGGCCAGAATGTCTGCTTCATCAAAAATCATTAGTAGGATACATCAGTAGAGGGACAGAAAAAAAAATCTATTTAAAAAATTCAAGTGCTTTCTGAGCATATGGAGCCTGGCAAAAATAGTCCCCTTCTTACAATAGTCCCCGATGGGTGAGATTTCTTCAGAGAAATCTTGGAAGAATTGATGGTAAAAGCTGGAGAAGCTGGGAAAATGCTGAATTCAGCAAACACTTTTGGGGACCATCAATCCAGCCTGTGACCACTAAATCCTTCTGGGAGTCATCAAGTAATTTTAGAGAGATGATATAATCCAGATATTCTGTGAAGAGATCAAAGACCATTTGAAGCAGTACTTTTCAAAACAGCGTACATCTGCTGGTGACAAAGAAGAACCTCTGGAGTTTCTGTGTGTTTATGCTACAAATACATTACCAAAAAAACCCCCAGAATAGCTCTTAAGTTGTAATCGAGAAAACATTGAAATTTAGCAGGGCAATGCATATATCAGAAGTAATAAACACTCAGAGGGGCTATATGTGGCTTACAGGACTGTTTACTGTTATTTTGAACTGCTTTAAGTTCCTTTTTCCTTCAAGTCTAGTTTTGTAAATGCTTCGTCAATCTACAAATTATTCAGTTTTTCAGATATCAAGGAAAATAGTCTGGTTTTGGAATTAATCTTATAGATTTCTTGATCATCATTGCTGGATTTAAGGGAGATATTAACAACTCATGAATTTGAGGGGTTTTAGAAATAATTTTCTAAATTTATACAAAGTGAATTTATACAAAGTGAATTTTCATTAATTTTAGCACCTATTGGGAGTAAATGCAGTCCTGTGGCACCCAGATACTGCATCAATACAACCCAAGGCAGGCTTGGTATGACAGGAGGGCACTATGTCTACATTTTCTTAGAAAAAACAGCATGAGCGTCTTTTTAGAAGCCATGAGTATTTCTTGCCCTTGCATGGTGTGTCCACAAATCTTGTAACCTACTGTTACTTTTACTGAATGTGACTTCAGTTACCTCACTGAAGTACCTGTACTGAAGAAACAAAAAGTATCAATAATGTTGTTCTTTGTTCTGAAGAATTTGGAAATCATTCAAAGACCAGCTCAGTTCCTAGAATTGATGAAAGGGAGAATTTCTTTGATTTCTAGCTGTAGCAGAACTACTGACTCCAGGCATGGCTTTGAGAGAGGGTTGTGTGATAGCATTTCTCACAACATTCATGTAGTGAGATCATTACTGGTGAATACCACTAGATTTTCTATTTCAGCTCACACAGGTGTCTATACATATCCAGAAGGTATTAAAACAATCTAAACCCAAGGGTGTCCCAGTTCTGCCTGGGTGTTTGTTTTCTTCCTCAGCAGCTGCAGTTAGTGACAGTGCTGTAGAGCCAAGTTTTGCTCTAAGTTTGTGACTAGCCATCAGGATTCTGCCCAGTTCTCAATTACCCTCTATTGCCCTCACTTCCATTTTTTGAGTTTCACTTCTGTCAGCAAAATTTAACTGAGTTATCCCTATATAAGATAATCTCAGCAGGAAATATTTTCAGTATTCTGCAATAAGGGTCTACTTTTTATTTCAAGGGAGAAAAACTCGACACTCTCTTTACTGGAGGTGAGTTCTCAGTATCCCCCTGGCACAGTCCATGCTAGAGCAGAAGATTGATCCAGAGAAACAAATCACAACACTTTACAGAAGATCCCAAGTGGATGATTAACCAAGAGAAATTTATCTGACTGGTGAAATTAGACTTCTGGAGAGCTGTTCATCCATCCTTCTGTTGTTCCTGATCAGATTGCTAATGGAGACAGAGCAGTGGACTCTCTCTGTTGTGCTGGTTTTCACCTGTGTGTGGAGTTAAACAGAGCCTCATCACAAGAGCTGAAGTGACCTTGGCGTGGCATCCCACCGTCTGTGCTGTCCAGGTTTGTAAACACTGCACAGGGCGTGTATGCCATCTATAGGCAGGCGGCCCCGCTCGGTGACGTTTTGGCAGCACATTTGTCATTCCACTAAGGCAGTCAGATCAGAATCCTGTAAAGCAGTCAGGAGATGAGGATCCTTGTCAAAATCTCAGGAAGCAGACTAGTAATCTGCAGAGGCCTGAATAGGGCTTTTAAAATTGGAAGCAGAACTGACTGCCTAGACAGAGTTTTTGAAAGATAAACAGCGTCAGCAAGCTAAATGGATTTCAAGCACAGCTTTAATTGTTTTGCAAGCGAATCAGCAAAGGGCACCCTAGCTGGAGCAAGCTCTGAAGTACAATCAGGAAGATTTCAAATGTACAGTGGTTTTGAAGATGATCAGGCATTTCAGTGCTATGCTAATACTGTAGTAAGTAATGAAGAAAGACTTTTTACAGTTGGCATTGAGAGTAAAAGACATATAGTCATTGAGTCAATTACAATACCTGCCCCATGTGCATGATGAATTTCACCACCCTCATTAAAATTGACACGCACACTGATTTTCAAACCTCAAAGATTGTCTCTGCAGCACACTTGATCAGAAGAACAAGTTGTTTATTGCCAATACTCACTGCGTATGGAACACTCCCCATTCTCTTCCTTTCCACCAGTCTTCCCCCTCCACCCAACCATCCCAATAGCTTGTGACAGACTAACAACACTTCTGAGTGGATTTTACTGTAATTCTTCAGAATCCCTTGGACCTTGCATAATGGAATTTTTTTGGGTCACCAAATCATGTTTCCTAATTATAGGAATGATAAGAAAAGAAAAAAGAAAAAACCCATCAGATATAATGTGAAACGATTCCCTTATTCTGGCATTTTTTGCTTTTAGAAACCTGGGATAACCCACTCGCTTCCATCTGTTTTGGGCGCGCTCTGTTTTAACCTTGAAGTCAAAGCTTTCCTTCACCTCCTCTTCCTACCTCTCTCCTGCCATCTCCTCTCCTACCGGAGCGGAGAGACCCTCCTGCTCCCAAGCCCTCCTCGCTGGGGAATTATTCGCCCCCGCCCGCCCCCGCTCTCGGTTTTGTTCCCCTCGCGGGGAGCAGAGGCGACCGGGACGAGCGGAGGCTCCGCCAGCGCGGGCACCCCCGCGACGCCCCCGGCCGCCGTTGCCGCGCTGTCACGCACCCCCGCACCGCCGCCGGTGGCAGCGGCGGCCGCCGGCCGGGCCGGGAGGGGAGCGCGGGGCGGAGCGCGGGGCCGCGGGCGGGGCGGGGCGGGGGCGGGCGCGGGGGGAGCGGCGGGCCCCGGCGCCTGTTGCCCCGAGAGAGTTAACGGTGCGGGGAAACTCGCTCGCCGCTCCTCCGTCCGTGCCGGGCGCTTGGCAACCGGGGCGCCGCGCATGTGGGACCGCCGGGGGCCGCCGCCCCCCCGCCGGGCCCCGCGTCCCCCTCCCCGCCCCGGACAAGGCGTTTAACGTGCCAGGCGTGAAGTATGGCATGCAAAGATGGTTTCTGCCAAGGAGCCAGCCATCGCCATGTCCTCGGGTCTCTCCATCGCCCTCCTGCACTGCCTGTGCCTGGCGACCTGGTGAGTAGCCCGGCGGCGGCGGCGGCGGGGGACCCGGGCGGCCGGTCCGGTGCCGCTGCTCCCGGCGGCTCCGCTCACCCGCTCCCTCTTTGCCTCGCAGTCTCACCGGGCCGCCAGGGCAGATCAAAAAAGAGGAGAAATTGTGGCCGGAGAATTTTACCAGCATCCTGAACAGCCTCCTGGATGGCTATGACAACCGGCTGCGACCGGGATTCGGGGGTACGGTGGCGGCGCGGTGCCGGCGGCGGGCGGGGGGTCGCTGGGCTGGGGCGGGGGACGCAGCGCTCACCGCTCGGACCGACCCGCTGCTGACCGAAAATGCGGGGGTGTGTCCCCATCCGTGCTCCGGGATCCGAACCCTCCGGGAGGGGCCGGCGGCGAGGCAGAGCCTGGCCCGAAAGCCCGGGGGGTGCTGCGCAGTCCTGGCCGCGGGGGCCCCGCTGGGGCGGTCCCGGGCTCAGCCCCCACTTTGCTGCTCTGCCCACATCCCGGCATCGGGCGGCTGCTGCTGCGCCGGAGGAAAAAACAAGCACTGAAGCCGGTGCGCGTTGGCTTGGTGGGTCCGGAGTGACCTGTCTAACACCCGTATTCTTCTCGTTCTCGGCAGGTTTTGAGCCGTAAATGCCACGATCGGGTCCTAATAGAAACAAGTGTACTTTTACCAGTCTAGGAGGTTAGGTCTGATGGATTCTGTTCCCCTAGTTAGGGAAAATCAGAGCTCAGGTGCCAGTTCTTTACCACAGTTGCTGAAATTCCAGGTTTGATTTAGAAGTAGTAGACTTGATTGCTGTATAGGAATTAGACGTGGCGGGGTTTTAAATTTGCCTTCACCTGTGTTCTGCGTGTGGGGGTTTTGGGCCTCTTCCTTTCCCCAGGCTGTTAAGATGCAGTTTTGTGATGCTGAAGAAGCAGCCAGACTTGCTGTTCCTTATGATTTTGATGTTTTTGTGCAGGGTCTTGGAACCAAAAATCATTAAGATCCAGGCAAAATAAAAGTTTATTTTGTAATCTGGAATGAAGGTATTAAAAATGCAAATTTGATAGTAAAAGTAATATTAAAATATTTATTAAAAAATGCTACAGACCTTTTCATGACGCTCAGAGCTGTAATGAGGTTTTTATAGGCTCCTTCCAATACAGGATTGAATGAGATCCTTGCGTAGGTTTATGTTGCAAAATACTTTCTTCCTCCTCTGAAAGTACCTTCTCCATACATGTGATCCATCCACACTGACATGTATGCCAGCACATTCCCCACATGCCATATGCAGTGCTCTCACATGCATGATCATGGTTGTTAAAGGACAGCACCTGGCACCCATGGACCACTCTTATTATTTTGAGTGTGTGGAATAAATGAGGCCTTCTTAAGTTAGCTTACACATCAAGTGAGAAGGAAGCTAAATTTATTAACACCCGGAGGAGTCATTGGGAACTGATAGTCTTTTGCAATTTAGTCTTTGTGGAGAGGTTACAGACACTTCTGCACGCGTACAAGAGATGTGCTAAGTTTGGCATCATTTTAGGTTGAATGCCAAGTAATTAGTCATCTAGAAAAGATGCTTTATGAGCATTATCAGATTTCCAAAATTAAACAACCACTAAATATGTAATATATGGTGATTTTTATTTTAATACAGTTGTCCTTTGCAAGATGTTTTGCAAGAGTAGGTATTTTTCCCCTGTAAGTGTGGAAGACTTTCAGCAAAATGCAATCAAGGAGAAAAAGTTCATTGTATCTTCTTGAACTTTCACATTGGGAATATTGAAGTAAATGAGAGAGGGAGGCAAAACCTCAGATTTCAGCCTGGGGAAAACACCTCTGAGCCAATATTTCTCAAAATGGATATTATTTTGCTTCTTCCTTCCTCATAACCATCTTTATGGCTAACATTTAACCACTCATCTTTGAGTTTTGAACTTTTAAATAAAACATGGGGGGAAATGCTTTGGTTTTAAAAATGATACTTGCCTCCCTAGCTCCTTACAGTGAAAGTTATCTACACCTGATTTGAGAAGAACAACTTTGGATTAAAAAACCAAACAACAAAACCAACCAAAGAAAGAAATTCCTGTAATTGATCAGATTTCACTTTTTGACGTTGCTCAGAGTAATAACTGCACGCTATTTATTGAAATAGAGAATATAAAAATCAACTTTTACCTGTATTTTGGAGCTTTTTCCTGATAAATCTTTATCAGAAGTGGGATTTGTGGGTTGAAAGTGGGTCACTCACTAGTTTATAGCATTGCAAACAAAATGTCAGAGGGAATGGGAATATTCAGAGATGGAAAGTACAGTGTGTTTTGGTAATGTTAAAGCTACATCACTTTCTGATGAACAGCAGAATATTTATTTTTGTTTTCTTCTTGAAGCTGTTTCACCATCTAGTTTTCACAGGGCCTGAAATGAAACAAAGTTTTTATTTTAAGAACAAAAGACCTCACAGAGAACTAACTGGTGCTGATTTTAAACTTCAAATTGATGAAAATATTTCTAATTCTGGCACAAATTATGTTTAAAATCAGACTCAGAGAGGTAGCCAAATTCTGAATGTTGCTGGCATGTTACAGCATTACCACAAATAAAAATACATGAAGATAATTCATGTGCAGAGCAAAGTAGAAAATGTTTGACTTTGGAAATTTCCTACAACTGGATCAATATTCTCCATACTATCATTAATTTGCACAATCTTTGGTAGTTTTGGAGGAGAAGTCAAATTGCCTCAGCATGCTTATAAATGTCTCCCAGGAGAATTGTGAACACCAGTGGAGTATGTGGAAGCCTCTCTTGGTGGTAGTTATGCATTGATGCCTTGAATTGTAAGTTCACTTAATTCAATTAATTTAATAAACTTTAAAAGTTGCTGTCACCTTACCAGGAGCTGCAAGGTTTGGTAGTGTGAAAAACAAAACCAGAAGGGTTTATTAACAAGGTTACTAAAAGACCATTTAGGTGAAAGTTCAATTAAGCTGAGGCAGGGGGAGAATCTAACTCTCTAGATTTGCTACTCTTTAGTAGCAAAGAAATGTCACCTAGCAATTGAATGAAATAAAGCAGAATGGGCAGTTTCATGTAAGAAAGGAAAAAAGCCCTGCAACTGCTGTCAGGAAGACTTTAAATGCATAAGAGTTTTGAATTTGGGTAGATGGAAGGTATTTAGGGACTAATGAGTAAAGTAATGCTGTATGATGTTTGAAAATAATGTGATGGAAGTGAAGTTAGTTCATTCCCTACACTGTATGTTCTGTTATACCCTTATCCTGAATTTCTGCATGCAATTTATAATCCAAGTAGGTTTTGTGGTTAAAACCACTCTACAAAACCAGTGTTTTTACAGAAACTGCTTGTAGTGTCATTAATTAAAATTATCATCTGCTGGAAAACTTCAGGCATACTACCAGAGTACTATTTTGATTCAGCTGTAAAAGTTTGAAGTAGAAGCATCTCTAGCTAAACCCTGTCTACAGTTTTCATCTGCTTTTAAAATTTTGTATATTACATTAAATTTCAGAAGCTGTATTTTCTCTGAAAATCACCTTATTTTCTGGTCATTAGTTTCAAACTGACAGTGGAAGTCCAAAGTCTTTGAAAGGAGCCTTATTCACTTGAAGTAAAAAGCCTGGGTCTGATTTGCCATTTTAAACCCTTGCATGGTTTCAGACTTTACCTGAGTGACTCTTGACATTAGTAAGGGCCTGCAAGAGCCGATTCAAACCTGTATTGGATAGTAACTTTGAAAAATGTACTGGTGTCTTTGAAATTTTCATGATACAGTACCTAATCACACTTAAACCTGGACTTAGAGATGTAGAAAGGAATAATGAGACTGAAGCTGATGAGGGTGACAAGACTGTGTGCTGCTGTGTATCTGCTAATTGTAATGAATTGTGCCTTTCAGACAACATTTGATCTCTGACATCTTGCTTTTACTGGCCAATTGTATGGCCAGACCAAAGAAAGAAAGTGGTGTGTGACTTGCCTCCTGCCCCAGGCTCTCAGGTTGGCTGCGGAACCAGTTCCACTGACCAAGGGAGAGGGCTCCATCTTTCACCAACTGATGGGCAACCACACCTGCTGCTGATGTGTTGTGGTGTGGTTGCCCATCAGCTGGTGAAAGATGGAGCCCTCTGCCTTCCTGAGTTCTGTTAATTTGTGTGAGGTAGAACCTGGCATAAGTTTTGAGTCTCACTATCAACTACTGGTGTTAGCTCTGTGGCTTTCTCTTTGAAATCCGCTGCTGACTCCTGAATAGAAGGAATAGGACTGTGTTCATCCATTTCCCTTTTTCTTTTCTTCCTCCTTTTGTGTTCTTTCCCATGATCTTGTGATTGAGTGCAGCTCAGTAGTGCAGCTGAGTACTTGCTAGAATTAAATATATTGGCCATTGTCTCCCCTAGGAAGGGTAGGAGAAGGATTCTGTGCCCCTTTAGTCTGTGTGTTGTTCAGCTGATGAGCAGCATTTCTGAAGAGTTTCATTTCCTGTCTATGCAGGACTTTAGTCAGAAAATAAACACAGAATACATTTGAAGTGCAAAGGCAATTTTCTCTTTTTAGAGAAAATAAAAATATCTGCGTGATTAATTGCTCTTACTAGGAACTCAGGCGTACCTTAAAGGTTCCATTGCTCAGCATAATAGATATTATAATTTATTTTTACTATTTAGATTGCAAATGGACTTGAAGTGAGCATTGAAAAAGGAAGTGGGTCATTTTTTTTTCCCGGCAGTTGTCCATTCTTTCTCAGCTGGTGAAAGTTGATGACTCAAAGCTTAACAGGATATGGTGTTAGATACCTGTAGGTGACAGATTTGAATTTGGCCTCGGTTAGTAATGCTTGAAGTCATTACCATCTGTCTGTTGTTCAGTGATCTGTGTAAAATTAGCTGATATTCTTAGTCCAGTTCTTAGTAGACAGGTGTCCACATCATGAAAACTGGCACCAGTAGCAGGCTTATTGGCTGGTTCAGCAGAGATGTTTTGCTGATAAATAGGCAAAGAAATAGTAGTCTCCTAATTTCTGGAGGTGTACTTTTCCCTTTTCAGGTTCAGACATGCTGATGGATGAACATACATAGAGACAAAGGTTATTGTGTGCTGCTGTGTTTGTTGTATTGTCTTTTGGTAGAGAATGTAGCCCATGTGTTTGAATTCTGCATTAATTTTTTAAAAATGCCCTACCTACTTCTGGCTTCTGAGCAGAATTCTTACATATAGCAAGTGACCTTAGCTGTTCTTTCTGATAGAATGAAACAAGAGAACATATTTCATATGATGGGGTTTTTTTTTCTTTTTTTCCTCACTTAAAAAATGTCAACCCTATTCAGGCAGCAAGAACTTGGAAAGAGAAAACACCAAGTCTTTCACACGTAGTTATATTTAAAAAAAAATCTGTAGCAACTACTTTTTTTTTTTTTTTAATGTAGCTGTAGGAACTGATGTAATATGATTTTATGTGGTTTATATATCCTAGGATTGATCTCATAATAGCACCAATAACTGAGCAGCATAACTGCACTTTGTATGTTGAAACATTTGTACAGGCTTTTTTGTTAATGTTTCCGATTAGTTGTGGGACCCTTGATGGCAAAATTTGCAATATACAGAAAGCTTGTTCAGGATTTGAGTGTTTACATACAGCAGGGATCTCTGCAGTGACAGTTGCCTATGGAGACGCAGAGATAATGGAACCCGAAGTCTTTCACTGGGAGCTGTGCTGCAGTTCAGCCCATATGTTGACATAAAATGCATGGGAGAGTTCTCTTGCACTCCTCTTCCCAGGGTTAGGGCCTGGCATCACTTCTTCAGCCCACATGTAACATCTATAACACTGAACTATTCTGGCTTTTTGCAGGGGTTGCTTTTAATCCTGCCTGAGCTTCTTTAAAGTATATTATCTTGCAAGCAGTGATTCAGACGTAACTGTTCCCACTGCAGTGTGTAGGACTCTCCTCCTATTTCATTGACATAAAAATACACACCAGTACGATATAAATAGTTCTTCAGCATTCCTGAAGATTTATGGTGGATAGATACTTTGTGAAGATCCATTGAGGGGTAAGCCCAAATGGACATATTTAAAGTTAATTGGCCTTCTTACAACTCACTGCATTTTATTGCCAGTAATAGAGCGTTAAGGATTCTAATAGGATCTTCTGCTTGCAGAGCCTGAGTTGATTAAGTGGTGCAACACATTCATTTTGGAGGGCTGCTTAAATCACCAGTAAAAGTAGGTTAGGTGACTACAGATCACCTCCTCGTTGACAGGAATTCCCACGATTAATAATAGTTTAAAAAAGAGGCAGCAGCATGACTCACTATTTATACCCCCGCTATTGTTACCAACTATGTTTTCTTCTAGAACAAGAAGAATAAGAGGTAGGTATTGGTGTCGCCATAGATACTCCTGGGTTGGCATTAAGTACTGGGATGTGCTAGAAAATCCAAGATTTGTCACTTCACAACTGTTAAGGCCAGTGTAGGTGGAAGACATGGAGCATGAAAGGGCTGCAATTGGAGAGAAAGCATTAAGGAGATAATCAGCTTCACTGTCTTTGCTCCTACCAGACACTGAACTGTTTGGCCAAGGTTTTGGCTGCAAATCAAGGATTTGTATGTCTGTACTAGCTGGATAACTGTTATGATGTTTTAAAGTATCTCTAGATCCACATTCATCTGCCATTTTCTAGTGGAATAAAATGTGATTTTCACATCTGTTTTGTTACTCTTCTGCCATCATGTTGGAAAAGCAACTGAAATATATTTGTGGCCTCATAATTGTCTGAGAGTTCCTGCTTCCTTCTTTTTCATGGGTCATAGTAATAAATATTTGAGGGCAGAATAGTAGTTACTGGAGAGTGAACTCAAACGTAGTTTTAGTCTTGTGCTGCTGCTATAGTGTTTCTAAATAGCATTAACTTGTAGGCTTGCTGATTTGGAGATTAGCCTCTTGATCTTAGCTTCCCTCTTTCTGAGAAACTCCAAAAAACAGTTGCAATGCCTATCACCCATGTATCACCCATGAAGCTGTAATCATTTAATAAAACAAAAGAAATCAATGTCTGAGGAGAAGCAGCTCATGCCCGTAGGAAAATCTGTCCCGGTGCTCAATTTGGTATGATTGTAAAATTACAGTGTTCTGTGAGCTAAAGAAAAGACTATACCATCAGAGGAAAAGCACTTAAAGGTCTGGGGTTTATTTAAGGACTATTCCTATTTAGTTTCTTAGAACTAAAAAGTAAAGCAGTTCCTGAAAGGAATTCAGGCACTTGTCTCTGTTACTTAGTAAAAAAGGAGTACTGAATATTGAACTCAGTTCCTCAAAGGGATTCCTTCAGGAACTGAGTGCAGTATTCAGTATTCTCTTATTATTGAGTAACAAAGACTAATTCCTGTATTTTCTTATTAAAGCTATGTGGGAAAATGAATTTTTCAATTCTTTAGAACTGATTGCAGAAATATTTCAAGATCAAATGAAATAAATATCTATCTGTTTAAATCAACCCTGGATAAATTTTAAAAGTGTGCTTATGGGAGATCAGTGGTAATTGAATCTCATCTATTTCTACATGCAAATATGACTGGGCTTTTCTCTCCTATTTTCTAGCACTGTAGATAAATGTCTTCACTTCTAATCTCTTGGAGCTCTTCTGCTCTCCAGAAATCAATATATTCAAGAAATGTCATTGGACCATGTGGTTAGTAAAATAAGCGATCATGGATTTCCCTGACTGATGAACACTTCGTTATTTGTAGAAAAGGAGCAGCTTCCATGTTTAGGTAGTAACCCATTGCAAAACAAATGGCATGGTATGAAAGTGTGTAATCTGGAACTTGGTGGTTGCTTCTTAAAAACCTCTTTGAGACAGACATGCCAAACTATACAACTTTCCAGGGATCTCTGAGCTACCGACTGTTGTACAGTGGAATTTCTACTTTTATTTTGAAAAAATGCCCTTCTCAGAAACTTAGCTTCCAGCAAAGTAATCTTTTTGACATTTAGATGAAAAATTCTTAGCTTTTCATCTCTAAATAATTGGCAAATTCTACAGTAAAACAATTTTGCATGGTTCTCTTTTACTTTTTGTTCACAGCTTGAGACTTATTCTAGGTGCAAGAACTTCAATTTCCCTGTTTTCCCATTGCTTACTTCTTTTTTTATCTTTTACCATTTGATTCAAAGTGACATCTGTGAAGACTGATTTTTTAGAATTTTTTTTCTTTTCAAGTGGGACATTCTTCTGCTGCTAACTCTGTTGAATCTTTCCTTCTTTCATTTTTAGATTGCAAATATTATGATAAAACTTGATTTATCAGACTTGAGCCACTTGCCCTTTATAGTAATTTGAGTTGTAGGGGTTTAGAATCTGGTTGTGAATTTGTAGATAATGCATTTTTTTTCAAACAGATACTGTTTGGTAAGACCTTCCGTAGATTTCTTTATCAAACTTATGATGTGAGTTAATTACCTGAATTAAACTGTTAGCTAATGCTTTGATCACAAAATCATCATAACAGCTGATCATGATTAGCAGCCTTCTAGTTTATGACATTAGGAAGAGACCTAAATCCCAGTGAAATTAGTGCATGTTTTCTTTGGTTTAAGGGGACATGTAGAGTGTACTGAAGAGCAAACGCCCATTTAAGATTTCAAGGTAGTAAAAGAAATAATACATTAAAATGAAACTGCTTTCTCTGGTGGTTGATTTGCCATAGGCAGCTGTGAGAGTGCAAAACCTCTGTTCAGTGCACTGTTTTTGGCAGTGTCCTAAGTATCTTTGGTTCTTTCAAGACAGACATTGTAGCAGAATGTGCATCTTGGTTCAAACCCTCAAAGGTACTTAGACCTCCATCTTTTATTTTGGATATTAGTATTAAAGCACTTAAGTACATCTCAGGAAGTGGATGCAGTTCCTGATCCTGTGATACTAAATTACACGGTACATGGCATGCTAATGTCTGTTGCCCAGTTATTGCCAGTAGGTCCAAATATTAGTAATAAATGCTTTGAGGAAAGTGGATTTCTGGGATTCAGTGCTTGTTGTAAAGTAGAATGGTGTTTTTAGTGAGCCTTTTAATTTTTTGGCATCAGTTTTCTTAGCACTTGAGTCAACTTTGGTTTTCTGAATGGGGATTTGCATGGCAATGCTGCTTTTGATTTACTTATGTGGTAAAGGTAATTGAGAAGTGCTTCTTATTTGAGACTTATCTGAATTGACCTCTGTTTGCATTTTGCTCTTGCTCGTCCACAGAACCCTGAAAGCGGTAACTGTTCACACACCAGGATCATTTATGGGAATTGTTGACCTGCAAAATTCAAATTTTCTTGCTCACTTCCTTTTCATACATTAGGTCCTGTTACTGAAGTCAAAACAGATATATATGTCACCAGTTTTGGACCTGTTTCTGATGTAGAAATGGTACGTATTTCTGGGATTAAAATGCCATTCCCTGGTTCTGAGAAACCATTAGCTGCAGTAGGAGTGGATGCTTCATCTGTACTGTTTGTCAATCATGCAAATTAGGCAAGATTAGTAACAGCTTAATTTACAGGTTATAATTAGATACATAAGGCCTGATTCTGGTCACACTTTCAGTGGGTTTTGGCTGGCTTAAGAAATTCACTTCATGGGATTTAAAACAGATTTTCACGGCACAGAGGCAGAATCCAGCCTTGCAAGGAGTGTCTAAGTAAGTCTACTATGGGGAAAACGTGTAATATCTTTGAAATTGCTTTTCATTTCTGAAACTTGTGTTATGCTCAGGTGAATAGTAATGACATCACTTCAAAAATACTTGTTGACATTTTCATTTCAGATGAATGCCCTTTGTTGATCTTTGTGCTCCTTTAAGCATCACTTTCAGCAAATGTTTGTCTGACAAGAGTTTTCACAAGTATATTCAGAAATTAAACGTCCAAGTCACATGCATGAAATAGTAACAGAGGAGAAATATTACATTTGCATGTTCTGTTATTTGTGGCTGAATGGCTTTTGATTTCAAGGTCAAATCCAGCAAAACTCTCATCAACTTCTAAAATACAGTGATGCATCCTTAAATCATGCAGCAGTTGATCTTTTTATAACATAATCAAGAAATCCCATGGAAATAATGCAGCCATACGTGTTGAACTGAACTTCTTCATGGAAAAAGCAGTTTCAGGGCAGTAATTTTCTTCCCATATAGTGCTGCTGTTCCTTTGTGTTGCACCTGATTTAATTCTGTTATATGGAAAGGTCTGTGATAGCAAGGTATTTTTTCCAGAGCTACAGTTGTGACTGCACTCTCATGTTGAAATGCATCTTACCCCTTTGTGGGTTATCATGTGCAGGATGATGCTTATCAGAGTGACAAGGGGCACAAGAATGTGGTCCCAAGGAAATCTAGTAATAAGTGCCTCAAATCTGCAGTGAGGGCTGCATGTCATCTCTCAGGTTTCATTTTCAGGGGAAGTTATTAGTTATATTGGAGCATATATCTAGGCAGAAGTGAGAACATGGATGAAGATGGGTAAGGAACTTGCAAAAGGAGAGTTTATTTCCCCTTTCTTCATTAAGGATGATTTAGAAGGCTATTTAGGGATGCAAGAATTGTTTCTGGAATACTCTTCAGTTAATATATCCATTAGTGACCCAATGTAATCTGAATGTGGCTGCACTCATAAAACTTGCTGCAACAGTGACATGTGCTATGGTCTCAGTACAGGGGAGGTCAGAACGTCTTTTTAGTTGCTTTTTTACCCATTTTCATTTTATGAATGGTTTTCATTTAATGAAAATGGTTGAAATCTTATATTACAAAATCTGCCAGGTAGTAGCTAATAACAGAAACTGCTACTTATGAGCTATGAAGTTGCCAGCAAGAAATGACACTAGAAGAGACACTTTTCGTGGATTGACTATAAATCACAGTGGAGGATACAGTTGTGAAAAAGAAGATATACAATCCTAAGATGCATTACTAGTAGTCATGCCTCCTGCCAATGCAAATAGATACGGTTTTACAAGTAATTTCAATGGAGACATTATGCAGAAGAATTTGAAATCTAGTCAGAAAACATTGTTCGGCTTAACAACAAAATCAAAACTGTAAGTTAGAAAGGACTTAAATGTGACCTTTTTCATTGCCACATGGCAGCTTTTTTTGTGAAATGCTTTAGCTTCCTGAGATGAGAAATGCATTCTTTCATCCATTCATTCTCATTTGATTTCTCATGATGTGCCTCTGTCTGCCGTTCTGCAGTTGTTTGCATGTTTTCTTTGGAGCATCTGAGTGGCTTTTCTGAGGAAGTTAATGGGATAGTTACATACTTTTAAAAAATGTAGATATATATGCAAATCTCTATATAATTTATTATCCCTGATTTGTGGGCATGGCAAAAGATTTACTTAGCTTTCCTCAGTTAAAAGCTTGCTTTCCATGAGATGAAGTTGGGTTTTCTTTCCTAACTTTAAAGTGGAACTAATTGTTTGTCCTGGTATTTTCAATTCAGCCAGCAGCAGCTGATCAATGGATATATTTTCTTTAAAATCTTTTGACAATTCTTGTCAGAGATAATTTTGTTTCCAGTTACATGCTTGACTTCCAATTCAGTTGCCTGCTTCCTGAAACTTAATTAGGTTAATTATTCCTTAATGATTAAATGTGTAGCAGTTTATTGATATGACTAATGTAAGAAATTAAGCTATTAAGAAATACACAACACACTTTAATTGGTGGAAAGATGTTTTTGTAGTGGACTTAGGATTTTCTTCTCTAATGATTTCTTTGCTCCTGAGGGATTTCTTCTTTTACAGGAAATGCACATGCAAATGTGATCTTTGTTTTTCTGCAATTTAATACAGGAATATACAATGGATGTCTTCTTTCGTCAGACATGGGTAGATAAAAGATTAAAATATGATGGCCCTATTGAAATTTTAAGACTTAACAACTTGATGGTTTCGAAGGTATGGACTCCTGATACTTTCTTCAGGAATGGGAAAAAGTCTGTTGCACATAATATGACAGCCCCAAATAAACTCTTCAGAATAATGAGAAATGGCACCATCCTGTACACAATGAGGTATTTAATGTGTTTGTTTGACTTCTTACAATTACTGTATGCAAAAGTTGTACTGCCTAGACAAAATGGCAACCAGAGACTATTTAATTTGTTCCATTATAGGCTTACAATAAGTGCAGAGTGTCCCATGAGATTAGTGGATTTTCCCATGGATGGTCATGCTTGTCCTCTCAAATTTGGGAGTTGTAAGTTGCAATTATCAAATTTCTTGTAACTACAGAATTTAAATAGTAGAATTAAATTTTGAGCAGTTACTAGACTTTATGAATTTATAGAGTTATGTCTTGATATACAATCTCTATGCAGAAAAAACTCCTGTTAATTTCCTCAAGACTTCAATTTAAGACCTCAGAAATTAAACCCAGAGAACTAAAAAGCAGGCGGTGATTCAGCTATTATGTTAAACCCCACTATTCTGGACACACGGTTGCTTGAAATATGTTGTTTTTCTTGGTTTCGGGGGAGGAATTGGATACTTGGTGAAGTGAGAGGTTCTCTGGAGAAGACAAACTTACCTTTAAACAGCCAGGTAAAAGACACCTAGGGAAGCGGGTTAGCTGACTTTCTCTACAGGTAGTGGAAGCACATTGGCATCTTAACAAAGAGGTTATGTGCAGAGATTTGATGTCTACTTGTAATTGTCTGTCTGCTGGCCTGTAAGAGGAGTCTGCATGGCAAGTTTAGACAAAATAAATAACTTTTTAACTGGTGAGAAAAATTTTAGTGCAGATGACTTTTCTGCTTTGAAGTCAGATGTAGGTTTTTGAAAAATATCCAAATTTTGGATAGAGGAACAGTTTGGGATTGCTGCATAAAAAAACTAGAGAGGGTAGCTGTGGTTCCCTGATGTGAATCCAAAGCAGAGACCTCTGAGACCCCCTGGAAATGGTTGATGCACTCCATTAACTATCTTGTTATTCTTTTAAGCCTTCTTGGTCACTGACTTCTCTGCTTTAGACCCTCCAATGGCTGGACATTAATCTGTTCTCCTTGACCCCAGAGCTCTGAAGTCAGGAATTGCTGCAGAACCTTCAGAGATTTTCCATTGCATAAATTTAGCTTATACAGCTGGATAGTCAACCTGAACGGGGGTATGAAAGACACAGCTCTGATAGGACTTTTCATAAGTGGAGGCCGTGTGCTGCAAGATTTGCCTTTGGTATCAGCTGTATGATAGGGGGGATTTGATAGTGGGGGCTCATTCATAGTAACAGCTCTTCAGACAGAATCACCACTCAGCAGGAATTGCTGAACACTAGTCTGATGTTTCCCTGAAATAATGTGTAACCATTTCAAATGTAAGACTGATTTGATTCCATTTTAACAGGAGTTTGGACTGTGTAGGGATTGAATGCTAGCCCTAAGACATGTCTTTTGCATTAAATGTAAAATGTTTCTTTGTGTGTGCTTATTTTGGGGCCATTGTGAATTCTTTACTGACCTACGGTTTCTGGCAAATATTTTAAACAGAAGTTTAAAATGTTGCCATTTTTAGTATAATCATCTTTTTTTGTAAAGTAATGTGCACCCAATCTTCAAAATATATCCTCCTTGTACGTACTCTTTTCTTTTTTATCTTAGTATATTTAAATAGTAAAGTTATAGTTAGAAATTGCTAAAATAAAGATAAACTTTGCATGCCCAGGAAGGGCTGATCCATAAGGGATTTATGTTTAGTCTTCACATTCATATGTGAACTGAATTTATGTGTGACACTTGACATATTACCTCAGCTCTTATTTATTCTACTCCAAGGGTGGCTTTTTGGGGGTAACTTAACATGAAGGGTATCTTCTGAAATTGTTTATGTATGTTTTACTGTTTGGTTTCAGTAGCTTTGGCTTTGGTTCTTAGTAAGGCATGAGAAAAAGTTTCCTATTTATGCAAACTGATGCTGTGTTGTAGATGCTTATCCAAAGAGTGAAATGATTTATACCTGGACAAAAGGACCTGAGAAGTCAGTGGAAGTTCCTGAGGAGTCTTCCAGTTTAGTTCAGTATGACCTGCTTGGGCATACGGTATCCTCTGAAACTATAAAATCTATTACAGGTAGGAATCTCGTCAGTAAAAGTCAACTTGACATAAAACTAACCTGTAACATTGCCCAAAGCCTGTTCTTTTTCTTCCTGTAAGTTTTATTCTACTGAATGTCATAGGGTATGTATTAAGGGCTGAGAGTGTAAATCTGAATTAGGTTTCTGTCCTTGAGATTTACATTTGCAGATTCATTACAGTAGATTGCGACAGTCTTTCAGAAAGCTAGAATGAGATCATTACTCCAAGGGACAAAATGAGCATTTAATCACTGCTTAAAATGCAGTTTGAAGAGTCAAGAGGATGCCTGGGTGAGGAAGTAATTTCTCAGCACTGTATCCACATTATGTGCAAAAGACTTCCTTTGTTTGGTGGTGCAAACAGCTTGGGATAGAAGTACAGCATACAGAATGGGTTATTAAAACCATAAAAACCCTCTAGCCAGATAAGGGTAGGCACAAATACATTAGTCACAATAGATACTTCTGCTGATTTGTGCTGTAAGAAATAAGGCAAATGGCAACTACAGGCATCCAAAATGAGTGAAGTATCACTGATGAGCAGTGTGGTGATAAACAAGCATATTCCCAAAATATTTTTAAAATTTGGAATCATTTTCTAAGCATCAGCAGGTTTGGGTGTTGTGAGATAGTCAAAATGAAACAAATAAAGCAAATATATTTGATGTATTGCTCTATGGATGTTTTACTCAAAGATAAAATGGCATTTTGCAATTCACTAGGAATTTACCTCTCAGCATATAGATTATTATGAGTTAATAAAAAACAATTCCTTGCTGTCTCAAAAGACTCATTCTGTAGTGCTTTATTGCAGACAGTTTATTGTGTTTATGGTAAAACTGCTTTTTTGGTCTGTTTGCTTAATATGAATTACAATATTTTAGATAAATTTAGAGTATTTTTAATTCTTCTCAATTATTTGTTTCATTATCATAGTGGGACTGACTTATAAATCTAGCAAAAATTTGAGATGCTTGCATAACATTTGATGTGTATCATTGTTCTTAATTTTTTATTCAGCAGGTAGGTACCACAATGTTACAGATACCATGGTAGGTAGATAAATTGTGTTGTTGGATTCTCATCTTCAACAGCTGTCAAAAGGATTTTTAAAATCATGCTCATACTGTAAAATGTAATTCAGTATTAGTTGTATTATTGCATTTTTGATATCAACTTCCATGTAAGGACCTACTTTTTCTGGGATTTTTAAACAAACCTTCATTCATTCTTGTTCTGAGAAGATATCTTTCTGTGCATGTTAAGTTATATGAATAGCATCACCTTAAACAATCCTACTTGAGAGTCTGAAACAAATTTTATACACAGAAAAATATTTTCTTTTTATTTTTTTAGGTGAATATATTGTTATGACAGTTTATTTCCATCTCAGACGGAAAATGGGTTATTTTATGATTCAGACCTACATCCCATGCATTATGACCGTGATCCTCTCTCAAGTTTCATTTTGGATAAATAAGGAATCAGTACCTGCTAGAACTGTATTTGGTAATTATTTCCTTTTTTTAACTTTTTCTTGTACTTGCTCTTTTAAAAACTCTCACTAGAATAGGCCTTTTCAGTGCCTTGGGGTATATTCCATGCTATTGCAGAAACAAGGGGATAATTTAAATTCAGAGGGAATCTTGCTGTTGATGTATGAAGAATGTTGTTGAGTGAATCCTTGGACTCTGAGGAGAAACTTGGAATATATAACCAGAAGGGTGGCATGGTAGCCTGTAGCAAATGGCTCCTCAGCTCTAGGGATTCTACCTGCTTGAGGGAGCAAACTAGAAAGACCTGGCTCTGAGTAATGCACTCAAGTCCTTAGTCTACATCCAGATCAGGTTTATCCTCCAGTGGATGGTAGTGGAGGTACTTGAACTCAAGGTTTATAGAATACTTGTAAAATAAATTGTTTTGGAGTGTGTGAGATGTTCCAATGTCTTGTTATGAGGTATCTGTGTCATCAGTGGAAGCTTGCTATGAATAAGGCTTAGATTCTGTTACTGTAATTTCTTATTTAGTGCTTTTCTTTCCTTTCTGCCACTGCCATCAGGAAAATGAATTACAAAAGCAAACTGATCACAAGATATTAAAATTGATCTTTTCAAAATACAGCTTGAATGAGGTGGTACAGTGAAAATACCAGAAAATCTTCAGTGGACGACAAAGTGCAAGAATCTAAATGGAAATATGTTTTCTAACAAAGAAATAGGATAAAAACATTTAAAAAGCTGCCTAAAGCAGGAGTTCTACTACAAGCCTCTCAATAGACTGCTAGATGCTGGCAACAGTAATAGGGGCAGTTGTACTGGCAGCTCCAAGTCTTGCAGAAGAATGATTTAATGGAGAAAAATCTGACAAAGACTGTCAGCAAACTAATATTGTCACAGATTACCTCCTTGTTTTTGGTTAATGTTTGGTCATTTATTTTACTTTACCCTATTTTTACATCTATTAAGCAAATGTTTTTAGAAACAATTCAGAAAAAGTTTTTGCTTGAAGTGGACAAAGGGCCACTCAGGTCCTTAGAAAGGATAGGGCTAAACAGAGATGGGTCTCCTCCAGGGAAAGAAACAAAACCCAAACAACCAACTTTCCCTGTTTTTTTTTTTTTTTTTTCTCAGACCTAAACATTTTCAGTGGTGTGGTTTTAATACCTTCCCACTGAAGAAGGTTTTGTGAGCTTGCATCTGTATTTTTTATCCTCCTGAAAACTCTGAGAAGTCCTTTGAGCTGTCATGACCTGGCTGCTACTCTTTTGTTTTTCTTCTTTAGAAGGAAGGACTGATGTCATTGTGAGCATTTCTCTGTATGGCAGTGTGTCGGTGAAGCCTTTTTTCATTATGTTACCTTGATGGAATACCATCATTTAGCAAATGGGGATGTGAGAAATCTATTGAAAAACATAATCTTAATGAATTTAAATTCTTCTGAGCATAAAAATTGCATCTTGAATTAGAATGGATACAGTGTTCTTTTCATAAGAGTAAGGACATCTCTATTTGTAGTCACTCATCACCTCATCATGAGGTTATCATGCTAGGACTTATGCAGTGCTCAATGCATACTTGGGATTTTACATTTTTATGATATGGGATATTCTGGATGAAAAAAGAAAAAAAGACCCCATTCATTTGTTTTTATGCAGCATGTGTTTGCATTTGAAGTACTACCATGAAGTGGCCATCTTTTGATGGCCATCTTCAGTGTTCATGCTTCACACATTTTAATTAAAGTTGTTATTTCAGAAGATGAAAATCTAATTAAATTTCATTGGCTGACTAGTAGCAGAAGGCTGTAAAAAAATCTGATGATTTCTTAACTAGCAGATTTTTTAGCATAATATTCTTCCTTAGCACCAAAATGTTTCTTGGGTTACAAGTGTGATCAGAGACACAGATGCAGAATAATAGGGGGCATTCAGAGCCATTTACAGGAGAAGTCATGTTTTTGTTGCAGTCTGAGGAGTACTCACCAATTTAACAACTTATATCTTATTCGCATGTTTAGAAAATAACTTGTAAAAAATTCAACTGAACTTGACATGAAAAACATAAAATGAAGGCTTCTGTGTTTTTTTCATGTGAGCTGTAGATGATCTGCTGAAGTCATGGCTTTCTGTGGCTCCTTTAAAAAGTGGTAAGCTGTTTTAGGACTTAGCTGCTCATGGATATGTGATGCTTGCCATGACTTTAATGCAGTATTCACAAGCAGCAGACAACGACTCATATGTGATTTAAAATTCTTTGTTTGAAGATCCTTGCCAGTTCTTGCTTTGTTTTACTTTGATTCAATAGTTCTTTTGCTTTATTTTTTTTCAAGGAATAACCACAGTGTTGACAATGACGACGCTGAGCATCAGTGCAAGACATTCACTGCCAAAAGTATCCTATGCTACTGCCATGGACTGGTTCATAGCGGTTTGCTTTGCCTTTGTGTTCTCTGCTCTGATTGAGTTTGCTGCTGTCAACTATTTCACTAACATTCAAATGGAAAAAGCCAAAAGGAAGACGGTCAAGTCCCTTCTTGAATTTCCAGTTGCTCCAGTACAAAGGAAAAGAAGTACAGAAGAGACATTCACGGTATGTTTCCAGCTTACGCAAACATTTTCTGCATTTTTGGTAGTGTTTCTCAGTAAAAATTGGCCTTTATCTTCCTCCCAAGCTCCCTTTGAGCTAAGGATGATTGTACATCAGATTAATGGAAGGCTAATACTACACTATATTCAATTACAAAGACCTGTAAAACATGATTTAATTCTTATTTGCGTTATTGAATAAACTCAGGGGTGAGGTGGCAATTATGTCCATCCATATGTGCAGTCTCTTCTATGTTTGTGTTTTGGTGAAGGTCAGTTAGGATGGGAATCTTGAGGAAACTTGGTTTCCTTTTCCTTTTCCACGTTGATTCTGTGTGGACTGATTATACAGGCCAAGATATTGCAGATTATAAGGGCATCACGTTATCCTATGTGGCTAGTGTCTTTAATGAATTAAAATATGTTGAAACATTGCAGCTGTACCTTGGAGCACTTCTCTAAACATCACAGATCTTGCATTGCATGTGTTGCCTACCAAGAGTTTTCTCTCTTTATCTGTTACAATTTCAGGAATTTTTGAAGAACATTGGATGGAAACTTTCTGTCTATCACAGATATAATTTTAATGTAATTTGTGTATCTTTGCACAGTAGTTCACCTCAATTCCTGATAAGTTCTTGTGGCTCTCTTTAACAAAATGCTTGTCTGCTTTCCTAATGCTTTGGATTAATTGTGACTTAGTTGATTAGTGTGTGGACTGGCTAATAAGGGCTCAATCTCATTTCCAGTTGGGCTCACTTGTGATTACCCTTTCCTCTCTTCTCCCCTTCCCAATAAATGGTGCTTACTGTCTGAAGCAGCTGTTCATGAGACATGTAGCTAACAAAGCCACTGCAGCACCTGTCCCAGCCACGCAGGGGCCAGTACTTCCCAGCCGTGGCTGGTTCTTGGCAACGCCACTCAAGAAGTGAGACGCTGACAGCAGCATTGTGATTTACTTACTCTTCCTGTCAGCCTGACTTTGTAATTTCCTTTGGCTGAGCCAGGATTTAAGAAGTGCTGTTTTAGACTAACTCTTGTTAATTTTGTCTTCTGTCTCTTTTCACATTTCGTTTGTCTCCTTCCCTATTCATCTTCTCATTTTTGCCTTCCCACCCCTTCCATTTTCTATCGCTGCGCAGCTGCTGTCCACCCACTTCCATTTTTCTTCCTCTTCTTTGCTCTCCTGCAGTAGATACTGTTTTCAATCTCCTGGCTGTGTTGTTATGTTAGCTCCCATTTCTGCTTAGAAGGATAGATATGCTCCTGAAGAGTTTGTTATTTGTCACTCCTGCTGGTAAGAGACAGGAACCAAGAAATATGTTTATAGTAGCACGAAGTTCACCTTGTACACACAGGCATTAGTGCTATGAGCTTATGCTAAGCTTCTTGACTGTGCAGCATGAGGTTTAGTAGAGTATCTTGGCTGCTCCTGAGGAGTGAAAGTAAATACTGCTTTTGGTGGTAGGTTTTATTTGGATACCTAGGAAAATAAATTACTTAAGAACAGTTTAATCCTATGTTTATTTATTAGATTTTATTTTAAACAATAGGAAAACAGTTATTTACTCAGGTAGCTTAATAAAATTTATTCTCATGGAGGCTTCAAAGAACTCTTTTGATTCATGGACGGAATTGCTTTAAATTAGTAGTGTGTAATGCTTAGCCATTTATATGCATTTTGGAGAAATTCCTCTTTCTCTCCTTTTTTCCCCCTATTGTTCTTCTTATTATTACTATTGCTATTATTTTAAAAAAAAAAACAGCAGCCACAGAACACACATCTTTTTTCAACTTGAAAGATAGATAAAATGAGATGTGAAGAGTTCTATTCCACTGCTTAATTAATACTGCTGGGATAAATGTGGGAGCATTCTCACAGACTGGGAGATTTTGAAAGCACTCAAGGGAGCAATCTACTCAAGGGGTTACACATTAATGTTATGAGTATGTAAGAGAGTGATAGTGTTTTTTTAGTGATTGTACCTTGAACTGTTATTTTTTTTCAAGAGTTTCTCCTTAATTCTGCCTGTACTAAGGTTTGAGACTTTTCTCTTCCAAGACAGGTGTGCAAGGTGAGCCCACAGCTACTGTTAGTAAAGGCTTAACTACTGTGCAATCCTTTCTATGACTGGAGGATTACTTCTGGTCTCCCACTGTGCAGAACAGAAGATAGAATCTAATTCTCTAGAACCTTACATGGATGTTACACCCTGCTTTCCAACCTGACATGTAAAATACTCCTTGCTATATTTTGCTTATAAGGACTAATCTATAATTTTTAAAAATTCCTTATTATTATGTATTATATTATTTTATCTTTAATCATTATACTATTATTATTATTGAATTATTTCTTTATTCCTTATAATGCATCTGACTTTTTGTTCTGCACAAATACTGTCTAGTCAGTGCTGATAATGAAATCTCAGTTTCCTTGGTACTGAGATTGGTGGTGAGTTTGTGGTGCAAAGAATCCAGGACAACAGCCGGACTGTAGCATGTAATTTGTAAGCAGTGTATCTTAATGTAAATCTGCACATTTTTTCTCACTAGATAAATGATAGTATTTAGTATTAGTAGTATTTAAAAAAATCTGTGCTGTGCTGGCACTGTTGTGGTAGAAATTCTGTTGGCTACAGTACAATTGCCAGAGCTCGAGGAAAAGTTGCATATTAAACCTGAAGTTTTTTTCAAATAGACTTTGCCTATAATACTAAATTTTCCAGTCTCCCAAAATTAAAAATTTTCACTTAGCCTGGAAAGGAAGTGTATGCTTATTAGGAAAGAAGATGCCTGAATACCTAATCCTTACAGTTCTTTCTGTTGAATATCTCACCATTTGCAAAGGGCTTTGGATCTTCTACTAACTGGGAGGGGAGATCCCTGCCTTGAGCCTATTAGCCCTATACTTTAACCTACCTTGAAATGGCATACAGGTGTCTCTGCCCACTTTTTTTGCAACTGGGATGCCATCTGTGTAGGTTCCCTGAAAAATTATGGAGCAGTTGAGATTGTTAAGGAAAACAAACATGGTGACATTATAGTTTGAAATAAGGGTTTTGTTTTATGAGCTGTTGATTCTATATTATTAACTGGATGGTTTCACTCATTTGATCTTTTTTTTTTCCCTAAAGTAACATGGTGGGTTTGTCCTTGAAGGATTCTATGAGGGAGCAAGTTGGGATAAACTGGATTAGCTATAGAATATGAAGATTTTTCTATCTGATGATATCAGAAATTAGGCATATTAATAGTAAACTTTGGTAAAGATAAATTGCACATTATTAGAAGTCCTTTTTTGACAGGTAAATCTTTGACCAATTTCTGACCAGAGAATTAAAGTGGGTTTTCTGTATTGAATAAGTTCATATATTACCCATGCTAATTAGAATTTTTCAATGGTGGGTTATTTTTCTCTTTTTGGTCAAAACAACTTTTATAGTTGTCTTGGATCAAAGGCAACTCCTATCATTTATCATTATGATCAAATGATTTGGATATATCACTTCATGTTATATATTTCTTCACTAGAACCAATAAATCTTTACTGTAGAAAATGTGGGCTGTTTTTCTAAGTTATTCTCTTATGTAATTATATTTACTTTTTTGGAGCCACATGATGGGTGTTTCTGATTAATACATTGATTAAAGTAAGCACTAAATGCAGTTCAGAGGCTAGCTAAGTAGTCTGAACTGTGTTAATTCTAAGAAAAAAATCCTGGCATCAAGCTAATTTACTGGGCTGAGGGTAGGAAGAGCAAGCCTGCAATAGCTGCAGATGCAGTTTGTGTTTCTTTATCACTTGATTTGACTTTAGCCAAATCTTAGTAATCTTCAGTATTTTTTAATACTCCTTCCCCTGCCTATCCTATTTCAACTCTTTATTCTTGTCTTTAACTTCTGGATAAAAACTTAATGTGTTTCAATGAGGAGTGCAGTTCTGCAGAAGACATCTCAGGAGTAAGACCCAAGCTTTTTTGAGGTCTGCCTGGAGTTCACAAGGGACTTGGACAGACTTTCTGTCAGGCACAGCAGGATAGCGCTTAAATATGTGCTCAACCCAAGAGAGGTAACTCAAACCTTGGTTACCTGTGATTTCTTTGTTTTGGGAGCAAGTTAAAATGCTTTCTGTTTAGAAGGAATGAATGTATCCCTAAATGTTCTGAACTGCTTTTGTTAGTATAAGCAGAAATATTGCTTCAAGTCAACGTGTGATGGAAATGAATGATTTATAGTTTGTTATTGGATTCCTGAGTCTATTTTTATGCTTCTGTACTATTTCCTTTTCACTGTATTCCTATGAAGTTTATTTTTAAAGACCTACCCAGTTTTGGAGATGAAGAATGCTATTGAAAAGTAGTCTTCAAAAAATAGACTCCTAAACAGTGGTAACATGAGCTTCAACCTCAGGTGTTTGTTAAAAGAGTGTGAAACTCAGGGAAAATCAGGTCAGACTCAAAAAAAACCCTTTTGAATGGAATTATTTCTTCAAACTCAGCCACAAGTAGGTTGTAACTATCGATTTTTCTTGTTTTTTTCTGAAGACAGTTAAATGTCATTTTGTCCTTAGCAAGTCCTGTAGCTTCTAATGGGGGAACTCGGGGGTCCAGCTGTTCACTGCCATGTAGGCACACACTCCTCTCCTTGCTTGGGTGCTTTGTGACTGGAATCCACCCTGCAAGTTCATGAGAAATGTTGTCATGCTGCTTTTGTGTGATTCAGATATATTTTCTCTGGTATGAAATACTTATCTTTTAGTAATTTATGGACACAGCTCAACTTACGTGGTGGGGTGGGAGAAAAGTGGAAATCCTCTGTCAGCCCTTGGTGATCAGACATCTAGAGCAATTAATCTGGCTGATGGCCAGCTCTGTTCCTCAAACTCCTGACTTACAGAACAAAGATTGGGCTTGATAAATTGTTCTGATGGGCTGCATACAATCTTGAAGCTATAGGTAGGATACTTCTTGTTTTAGTGTGCCATTTTTTGTTGTTGTTGTT